TTTTTTTCTAGTAACTGCAGGTGCTGCCTATTACTGTTAGGTCCATGTTTTCACAGAAAAATATGGGTTTTTTGCAAGTAAATGTTACACTTCGAAAACGCCTGCCACACAGTAGACAGAGGTATGTGAATCTAAGAAGATTTTTAAGTAGTGTTTGCTCTGATCTATTTCCATTTTTTTGCGGTAGAAAATTCCTTTCCTATATTCCATTCCTACCCTCACTCCCCTGTTCCTTCATAATCGTAATATTTAATTGGAGATGCACAAAGATTAAGTTCCAAGTGAAAGAATAGATTTACATTTTGGCAAGTGAGGGTAATGCCAAAATATTTTTGTTCTTGTCCTGCATTTCTTTCACTTCCTGTCTTTAAGGGGTGGAGAAGACTCTTTCCTCATACTTTGCTTTCCTTCCTTTGGAGTGCTTGGGGAAACAATGAGCTAGATTTGTTACCAGAATCATTTGCCATTGTCAAGAGGCTCACACTTTTGCCCCCTTTCTCTCTGCAAATTGCCGCTAGTAGTTAAAAACTGCACCAGGACTGAATGGGCTTCCAAACATGGGCTGCTCTGTTGAAAGATGCATTTAATCTGCATATAATTGATATGTTTACTGAATTTACCTGAATCCAAGATGACCCTGAATTTAAGATGACCCCTCCCCCCCAGTAAGTAGTCATGCGTCCACCATTGCAGCAGGCAGTGGTGGGGAGCAGGCGGTCGGGGGGGTGTTGAGCAGCTTGCCCCTTTGTGCCCCTGCCCCATGCAGTCTCAGGGGTCTCCTGTCTCCTTTTCTCCCCCCGACTTTTGCTCTGACACTAGCAGGCTCTGTTCCTGTTCCAACTGGGGCTCCAGCCAAACCCTTAGCAGCAGCAGCGGCGGCAGACATTATCACTGCTACTACAGGACTGGGTTGGGGCCATGCTCTGTGCCCCGGGCTGGAGCAGGGATGGAGCCTGCTGGTGCTGGAACAAAAATAAGAAAGGGGCAGGGGGAGGTGGAGGGGGGAGCAGAAGCTGCCTGCCCCCCTAGTGCCTTGTACGCGACTCTGAGATGAGGGGCTCTTTTCCCCATATTAAATGGAGGGAAAAAATCTTGTCTTGAAATCAAGTAAATATGGTAAATGAGATTTTGCAGCTAGATGCTTGGCTGGACAGCACAGGTCTATTGTAAAAACACAGCTGATAAACATGAATTGACCAGATTTAGTCCCTTCTTTCAGCATATTTCATTGATCCATGCCTTTCTTTCCTTCCACACAAGAAGTACATTCATTCCCAGGAGGGAATATTATGAATGGCAGTGTGATTTTTACGGTCTTTCTTTTGGGATCAGTGGGCATGCCTACACGAGATGCTAGCTGCTCAGGAGTTTAATATTGCACAGTAGCGCATCATAGTACAAGCAGTGCTCATCTGCTTCTGCACAGTAGGGTCACTAAAAAGCCATTCGCTGGTGCTACTACGCAGTAACTCTCGTTACTCTGTATTTATATAGTACTTGATTATACAACTACTAAATTTAAATGTGCAGTAACCACTGCACATTAATGAATGTGTAGACTTACCCAGTGACAACAGCTGGCTCTTGTTTGGATAGATAAAAGAAAATTCAGCCAGTCTTTTTTCTGGAAGATAGTGCCAAGGATCCTGGGGACCTCAGTGATTTGAAGTAGACAATGCTGATTACAAATCCTGAAACTAATAAGCTTTAGTTCCTTGTTCATGTCTTCCCCCTGATACTATGACACCCATTTAATTTGTTTTCCTAGTTCACTTTTTTAATTACAGCTCAGTAGCATTTATTTAAAGCACAGAGGGTGCATCTACACGCGATGCTTTAATGCACATTAGCGTAAGTTAATGAGCATTAAGGGTGCACGTCTACATATGCATGCCCTTACTGCGTGTTAAAAATGGTGAATTTAGGCTATTTGCACCTAAATTTGATACCTGCAAATGCAGGTATCAAAAGTAGGTGTGAATAGTTAAAGCGCATTAACGTTGTGTGTTTGGACTGACTTGGGACTAACTTTAGTGCCAACACTTTAATGCCTGCACATGTAGATACCTGCCTAAACCCACTTAATGCACATTAAGCTAATGCGTGTTAAATTTAGGCATGGTTCAGTGTGCGTCTAGGCACGCTTAAATGCACGTGTAGACATGCCCAGGGACTGTCACTACCTATTCTACTGGTATTGTTTGTAACGGCTGTAGTTAAGGGCCTTCAGATATTCAGTATATTCAGCAGTTTGTAGTTTGGCCTCTTTTTACTTGAGGGGGAGGAAATAATTTTTATCTGTTTTCTCCCTCTTTCTTTTTGTACGGTATTGCTGGTGGCTTATTCTTTGTATTGCCTCTGCTGTCATGATGCATGCTGTCCACGTGATGACGTGTGCTGTCCAGAAGGCAGTTTTGCACTCTCGGACATGATGATGAATGTGACACAGGCAGTATGCTCTCAGACATGCTCACTGATTTTTCAGGAGCGTGTCAGATGGGCGTCCTGCCAGCTGAAGTTTTTCAAGTATGTTTTAGCTTAGTAGATCAAAAGAATGATCTGTGAACTGTGGAATACAAGAAAAGGCCATTTGTTGTATGGCTCTTCTCCCAGAATATCACATTATTAACCCGAAGGGCTTTAACGGTTCTGGAGGGACCAGGGAGTATCTTTTAATTTGTCTTTGCCTTGTGGAGGGATCCTAGTATCAGTTTTGATTTGGTATTCCCTTGCTTCTGTAGTTAAGTCGAACCCTTGCACGCTATAATCGTAAGTTCTTGAGGCTTATTTGGTTTGGTAATTTCAAGTGTGTGCCCTGAAGCATCGTGCGGTGATATCGTCTAATCTTGCAAGCTGAGTGGAGTCGATAGTCGGATGAGAGCTCCAAGACGCATCTACTGAAGTGCTGTAGGAAGTGGTGCAAAGTTTCTGCATGAGCTGCTCTTTCCTCCATCAACATGGACTAAATAACCTGGTGTAGTGAAAATGGACACTTTGCTAGGGGCGGCCCCCTCTTTCCAGTTGAGGTCCTCATTGCTTCTAGTCAGTAAGATACCACCTTCTCCTAAGATGGTATAATTTCCAGTGAGCAGTATTTCTGTAAAATTTCCATTGCTAGAAACTTAGGCCAGGAGTTGGAGCACACGTGCATTTCGGCCCCCTGGCCGGAGAGAGGCATAGGTGGGTCTCCAGGCAAGGGGAACTAGAGGTCTGCTCCTGGGGTCACCCTTTCCCTTGAGGGGCTCACTGCTTGACAGTCTGCCCTCTCCCCTGCCTGGGAAGGGGGCAGGCTGTCAATAGGCAGTTCCACAGCTAGAGGCGCAGGGATTGCCAGCTTTTAAATCCCTGCATGTGCAGCCCAGTGATGTAAAGCCAGGGGTGCTGAGAAGCATGACGAGGAGAGCCCCCCCCCCCCATCCTGGTTCCCAGCCCTGCCAGCTTTTAAATTAACACATATGCATCCCAGCCTCTGGATACCCAACTCAGCCAGCCTTGCCATCACAATGCAGCTGCCTTCTGCCTCTCTCTGGTCCTACAGGTTAAGCCATGGCAAGCCTCCTGGGGCTCTTGGGGGGGGGGGGTTCCTGCTGCAGGAGAATAGCTCTTCCCCTGGCAATCGGCTGATTTTTGTGGGGGAGCATTTTCCAAGGAAGGTCTGCACGGAGGTCCCTGACAGCTTGCCCCCAGGCCAGCTTCCTCTCTCTCTGGGAGAGCGGGTGGGAGAGCAGAGGCCTAGGGGGTATTGGGTGTATCTGTCCTGAGAGAAGCTTACAGCTGTGTTCAAGTTAAATTAAGAGGAGGGAGATCTTCCTCGTCTAACTTCCTGAGGAAGAGCTGGTATTCTCTCTTTCTGTGGCAAGATAAAGGCTATTCTCCTGGCACAAATGTACAGTAATGCCTGTCGGTGGCCCAAGAGTAGGTGCTTATCCATATTCTGATTTGGGTAGACAAGGGCTATCACTCCTGCAAGTTCATTTGGATGGGACTTCCTCACTTTCTGCTCCAAGTTTCTATGTAGCACTGCTGTTTGCATTTCAGTGGTGGGTAAACTGATTCTTGAAATGCAAGAAATGTTACCATTACTTATTTGGGGGGAAGTTATGACCCGTAATGCATTCTTCCCTTTGAGATCCTTGGTTAAAAGCTGCTTTAAAGTATTTTCTTTTGATTTCTTTTTTTATTAACCCTACTTCATCACCACTGAATTAGGCTTTCTGGTGACCTACTGAGTATGAATTAATAATGGAAAGGGTTTTTTTTAATTATTTTTTAAAATATCGTTTGTGAATGGATGTGGTGTGTGCATCACATTACAAAAAGAAAAACCTTGTAATGAAACTTGCTTGTGCCATGTTGGGTTTGAACTGGCAGGACTGAATCGGGCAGAGAGATGCTCTGGAGCTTTGTGTAGACTCTCTGTATGTGTTGTTATCAAAACATAGCAGCTCTTTGGCTTTTAGTTCCTGAGAGCATAACTGTATTCCCTGGGGATAAAAACCACATGAACTGATAGGCTAAAGTTTCATCTGAATTGAGGTTCTGCCGTAGGTGGAGTCACTTAAGCCAGATACTTGTATGCAAATATAAGTGGGTAAAAGTCAGGCTAACTCTTAGGATAAAAGGGGGTGCTAATCCCTGACCATCTTAAATTTTATTGCCCACTTTCTCTTCTGTTATCCAGGCCTTAAATTTGGCTGTTGCTGCAGAGGGCTGGAAATCTTCCCAACAGATACTGCTTTTGAAAAAGTATTTAGCTACTTCACTTTAGATTAAAAAAAAAAAAAAAAATACCGTTATGTGTGTGTAATTAGTCATTTTTGCATTGTGAAGATGTTGGGTCTGTTTCAGTGACGAGGCTATCTTGTTCTGTGACCCTGTTCCTGGTTTGAGCTCGGAGGGTTACAAAAAGCAGGCACTTGGAAGTCTTTGGACTGTTGTTTAAGACTGCCTATGCTGATTTGTGATTGTAACAAAGAAAGGGTTTTTTTATCTGTTTGCAGATATTCAGAACGAAGCCTCACAAAGTGCATTGGGATCACAATCGAGACCAGGCCTGATTACTGCCTGAAGCGTCACCTGAGTGACATGCTGTCATACGGCTGCACAAGGCTGGAGATCGGTGTGCAAAGCGTGTACGAGGATGTGGCCAGAGATACAAACAGGTGAGAAGAATATTTTGGTGAAACGCTTAATGTGACTGACTGCTTGTGGTTTTTTCCCCTGTCGCACTCAAGAACCATAATTTTTCAAGCCAGGTGCCATGGGAACTTTTTACAGGTGCCATACAGTATTAATTAGGAATTTAGGGTTTTAACGTAACTTGCAGGATTAAGTCCAGATATTTCAAATAGGTATCCGTAGTGTCAAATCCATTCTGCCCTGTTGTGGTTTTTCTCAGTTCTTTGCAGCAGAAGAATCGCTCTTACCATTTTTTCACAGTCCAGAAACATGGGAAAGCTAAGAGCTGACATCTAAAGGGGTGCTTTGAGTCTAGAAAGGTTGAGAAACGTTGCTCTAGAAAGTGTCTGGAAATGAATACTTCACAGTTCCAGTTTAATGTTGTATAAGATTATGCAGGTGTTCCCGTCCAACCAGTATTTTATAGTGTAGTATGCTGGGGTTTTTTTATGGCTCCGTAAATGCTTGCAACCCTGTAGAGTAAATAGGATATGTCCAAACAACAGTCAGCACCCTTGTCCTGAGCAGTTTGTTGTTTTGCAGGCTTGAGCAAGTTTTCATAGTTTCATAGTTGGTAGGGTCAGAAGGGACCTGAGTTAAAAGCCATGTAAACTGTGCGACATCCTTGAAGCATATTAAAGAACAGAGAGGGCACTTAGATTAGACCATGTAGAGCATGGGGCTGGTCTAGGTAAGTGTTCAGCAGACAGACTTGTATAAAGGCAGAAATGATACCTATTCATACGTTAATCAGGGGTCATTCAAAATATAGTGTTTCAGGAGTTGGGGAGTGTAAGAAAAGTCTATGATTTGCTCTTTATGGTCTTGAACCACTCACAAAAAAACAGTGATGTACAGAGAGAACAGAGTATATTTGTATATTTTCAGGTTGTTCTCCTGAAAGCTGCAAGGATGGGAGAAGAAATGTCTCTGCTGTCGCAGTGCTGGGGATCTTTCTGTTTTTCCTCTATTTTATATAAATCTGCTCTCTCAGGGGCCAGTTGCCTACTTAAGATTTTTAATAACAAAGCAGTAGGTAATATACTGAGAAATTTGAGTATGGTTTGACAAGCAAAGTGAACTTAGAAGGGACAATTCTGCTGTAGTGGAAAACACTGGAGGTTTTCTTATGGATAGCTGAACTTAAGATCTGAAGCCTGTTTTCTCCCAAGCTTAGTCTGTAGTTCAGGGGTGGGCAATTATTTAGGCCCCAGGGCCACATAGGGAGTTTTTGATTAGCTGTTGTGGGCCCCGTGCAACAACTTACCAAAACTCCCTATGGGGCTTTGGGGAGCAGTGTTTGGCAGCGGGATGGGTTGGTGAAGCCGAGCCGCAGTCCATTCTGCATACCCTGCCCTGGGATGGGTGGGAGGGTGCTGACTGGGCTAGGTCCCGGGAGCCAGCCAGGGTGAAGGGAAGCAGAGGGTGCATGCAGCAGAGCTCGCCCTGGCGGTGTGGTTCGTGGCTGTCCCCACGGCCCTCCGCATGGGACAGCCCGTGCCATACTCCCAGGCCGGACCAGCACACAGCTTGTAGTGGCACCATTCTTGGCGTGGCTGCAGCCGGCCGGGTGCTGCTCTGCCCCTCTCCCACCTGCCCAGAGTAGCGCAGCAGGGGCAGGAGCAGGAGGACCTGAGAAGCAGAGCAGCACTGGAAACCGCCCCGCTAGAAGCTGCGCATGCTGATCGGGGCCCAGACTGGCAGGCACATGCGGGAGCATGGCTTGGGCTGCCTGGCAAGAGCGGATGAGGCTGGGCCCCATGCACAGCACCATGGGGGCAGCTGCAGGCCAGATCCAGTCAGTTGGCAAGCTGGATCTTGTCTGTGGGCTGCATTTTTGCCCATCCCTGCTGTAGTGTGTCTGGAGCGTGAAGATAGTCCCATTGCTGCTTAAAGGCAAGATTCGATGCCTGGCTAGGCAAACAGCTGTGGCGTCCCAAAATAAATCTAGCCTCCTGAACAAGCCACACAGCTGAGTAAATACCTACCAGCAGACAGCACTGTTCTTCCTTTACATACCAGAGCTTTATGAAGGGAAATAACCAAGAGCTAAAGGAAGTAGACGCGCCTCATTCTTTTCCTAGGTGCATTAATCAGTGGTGAATTCTGACACAGTCTTCCAGCTTAACATTTACTTTTCTTGAACTTATTATTTAACAAATTCTTTTAAAACCATTGTGCTGTCCCAAGCTGGAGTTTTCCGAGTACCTCTGTTATCCACCTCTGTGATCTTTTGTTTTTAATTACTCTTGTTTTGACCATCCAGTTATTTTTTTTCTTGCAGCACCTTTAACCGTATATCTCTGCTGCTTCGAAAGCTGGCATGTGAAACCTTGCCTCGCTTGGTGCTGGCCCTGCAGAGGAGTGAGGCAGGATGTGGCAGACTTTTAATTTCACTCGCCAGGAATCCATTACAAGATTAGATTTTTAAAGGTTTGGGAACTATTGCAACTGCTTGCAATGTGTCTAAAAGATTGCTGCAAGCTTTCCAGACTCCCTCAGAGTAGAAAATTGCTGTTTTCACATACGTATCTGTGCCAACTTCTGCATTTTTTAAAATACGTTTCTGCTCTTTAAAGCAGTGAATTGGAATATTTTTAGAGCAGATTGATATCGGTATTTCTCTGTTAAGATGTTTCTAGGTTTCTTCTATTCATTTCGTGTGTGTAGTGATGATTTCTTCTTTTTTTTGTGTAATTTTCACATTTTGCTTGTAGCTAAATGTCAGATTACAAGCAATTAGCCTATATGTTTGGAAATTGCTTTCCATTATGTATCGTAAGTCATTAGTAGGGTTTTGTACACTTCCTGTTGCTGGGAGGCAGAAAAATATTTAAATCTAGGTATAGGCGTTGAGTTACTGATGCAACTCGGATCCTTCTTCTAATAAGAAAATAATTTTATTTAAGAAGCGACTCTTCATTCCTTCCCCTCCAGCTTCCCAAAGTGCTGAATAATAGCACCCCAGAACAGATTTAGAAAAACGTCATCATGCTTTTTAACACCATATAAAATAAAACGGCACTCATAAAAAATATACACAGACATGTAAATGAGGTGATGGGGGTGGATCTTGCAGAGCATGGGGAAAGGAAAAGGTCCACAGCGTTAGAGGAGCAGTTGGTTAATGAGAGCTGAGTTTAGCAAGGGAAGGGGCTGACATCTGAAGGTGTATCGCAATGAAGTGCAGTCACTGGCCGATGCAGGATGTAGTGGAGGAGGTCTCAAAAGGGCAAAAATAATAGGAGGGAAGTGAGGATGAAGGAAGAGGAGGTGCGAGAGGAGGTAGATCTCCTGGACCTTGCATCCTGGGCAGGGAACACCATTAATTTCAGCAGAGGCCCCAGAGCTCCCACCCCAGAACTTGGGGAGTAGCAGCAAGAACAGAGAGGGGAGAATAGCTCCGCTCTTGGCCTGGCCTTTTAGTGGCTGCTTCGGGGAAAAGGGTTGCTTCCAGAGTAGAAGCAGAAAGTTGTTGAGCCATAAAGGGGTGGAAGGGGAAAGTTTCTTGCTTGTGGTCCATCATTTAAAAGTTCCACTCTCGGCTCCAGGTGTTACTCGGGTGTCTCTGTCCTCCTCTGGCTTCTGCACTGGTTTGTGGATTGGACCAATGGGGGCCAAGTCAAATGAAAGCAGCCAAGGGGGGACCGGATCCAGCCCTCAGGCTGAATGTTTTATACCCCCCGATCTGAGAGACTAGAGAGCAGTTGCCTTTTTCCAAAAAGGGTGGCTTGAATGGTCCCTGCTGGCAAGCAGTGCAGCACGGGGGGGCTGCTAGCTAGGCCAAGTAATCAGGTGAGACTATTTACCTCTCACTTTCGCTCCTCTCACATTATGTTCCCATGTGTTGTCTTAAGTTAGACCAGCTCCTTCTCAAACAACCCTAGAATACCAAGGCTCTGATCCCACTTTAGCCTCCTTGGAGCTGTTTCAATGCAAATAATATTTCAGCAGCTTCAAACAGCTAACTACCTGGCTGTAACAAGGTGAAGGCAGCTCCCGGCTGCATGGTAGAAATCTGTTCTGCTGTGACCCTTGTGTCAGTCTCACGGTGCCCCTGCTGAGGAAGCAAAAGGCTCAAATGTTTTCTGGTTAGATTATAACTTTGCTTTTGTAACTGAAATGATGGTGTTGAGTTCATAATCAGGCTCATCCCTTCATTTCTCCTGTCAAGGGAGAATAATGGGAGACTTGCCTGCTAGACTCTAATGCTGATTAAATGCATCAGAATGCACCTGCTCCCTGTGCAGCCCAAGACTGTTCTTGTTCGCTGTCAGTGTGACAACTGATGACCGTGCACAGTGTTTGGGTTTCTTTCATCGCTTTTTCGTCTCCCCAGGGGCCACACCGTGAAGGCCGTATGCGAGTCATTTCACTTAGCCAAGGACGCTGGGTTTAAAGTGGTGGCACACATGATGCCCGACTTGCCGAACATGGGCCTGGAAAGGGATATCGACCAGTTTGTTGTGAGTACGATTAGACATCATTGTGCTCGTGTCTTTTTGCCTCAGTGGATCTGATGTTTCCTCTGTTTTTTGGCTTGGTTATGGTTGGTGTCCTATCCAGTAGTGCCTTCTAAGTACCCTTAATACAAAATTCATTTTCAGGTTGGATGAGGAGGAGGAAGATTTGGTTGAGTTACCTGATCTAGAAGATTGTCTCCCTTCCCTGTGAAAGACTGAGTCATTAAGGTCCCTGTAGAATATGGTTTTTCTGATATTAATTAATGGCTCTCTTGGTAGAAAATAAACTTGATACGCATTAAAAACTTGCAAGCAAATACATCTAGGGAGCAGCCTTCCAAAATACAGTTACACAAACCTTTAAAGTAGTAATGATGCTTCCCTATGATTTTTATAGCATGTTTCTGAGCACTTCATAAATATTTAGTCTCTCGGCACCCTGGTAGTATTAGCCCATTTTACAGATTGAGAAACTTGCACAGTCACAGGTGAGGTGGGAGGTAGAGATGAAAAATTTCTGACTCGGACTCCTTAGCTTTCACTGCGTGATTACATTTTTTCCTAATGCTGGCAGAGACAGCAAATGATCTCTGAATTTCCAGTACGAATTCTGAGATTGTGCTATGGTAGCAGAAAGAAGTAGCAATCCCACATGAAGGTCTTGGGAAGTCGCACCCTCATCTCTGGGTTGATTCGTGGGTGCATCATTACTGGGAAGAAACAAGCTGGAGAGAAGTGAAATAGAAGTTACAAAAGCAAGCGACAAACAAGATTTAAAGAGAGAGATTTCTCAGATAGGAGTCAACAGATGAGCATACACAATAGTCTGAATGCTGAAGGATACAAAAACGAAGAGGAAGGACTTGTTCAGGATAGTGCCAGCAGGTACCACTAGACATCGCTGCTGTTAAATAAATATTTCTCTTTTCTTCTGCACAGCTTCTCTCCTTGTTAATAAAAACAGGTAATGCATTCTCCTTGTGGGATTTGGAAGTGGGCCCATGGCTGTTTATTGCAGGAGGCTGGGGAAGATTTGGAAGAAAGTTTCTTATGGCTTGAGGTGAAAGGCAGGGCTTTATCGGAGGGCAGCACCGGGCTGCCTCCAAGTTGCACAGGAGGAAAGCATTGCCTCTTACCAGGAAAATGACAAGTTAAGAAATGGGTGTTTAGTATTACTACTCTTTTATCTGTGTCAGTCTGGCAGAGTCAGCCCAGCGATGAGAGAAGGAGTTTGTCTTTCTCCCTCTGGACCAGCAGAAATGCTGACTAAATCCCAAATATTTATCCAAGAGAGTGGAATAGCAGGGGTGTCATTGAGGGTTATCTGAAGTAGGAGGGTCAGACAGGCAGAATTGGACTCGCTGAATCTTTTTGTTGCTGGCGATGGCATTAGAAGGGGAGATTGTGGCTTAATTATCAGATCTGTAATTGTGTCTGTGGGGCCTGCCCTTTAAAGTCCCCTGGCCCTACACATTTTAATTGGTGAATTAGACACATTTGATAAAGCCTGCATTCTGGGACCCCATAACGGTGTTTTTTTGCTTCTCTTTGCAGAGAAGAGCTGGGGTTTCAGGACGCTGCAGTCTTCCATGGTAAAAACAAACCAGTGACCCCTAGTACGAGATGCTGCCCTGTTTCTTGCCTGTCTTTTGGGTGGCCCAGAAAATTGTGGTCCCGACCATTTAAGGAGAACATGGTCGATGTGTTGGCTTTTTTAGGGAGGAGGAGGGCTTTTGAGCATGGTGTCCTGGCCAGCTCCCACATGCTGGCAGGTAATGGGGACACGGCTAGTATCGTGTTACGTATAGTACTTAGAGGCCTCGGTTGTGGAGCAAGAGATGGGCTGGGGTCCAGTAGGACAAGTGGAGTGGTTAGAAGAGCATCTGGGGAGGAGGGGGGAGTTGTAGGAAGGAAAGGAGGAAGGAGAGACAGGCTGAGGTACAAGGGGGGGAGGAAGGCCCTGCTGTATTTTGTCAGCTTTCTTCTGAAAGCAAATGACCAGACCCTGTGTGAAGAGAGGAGAGCAGGGCTTGAGGAGCCACGAAAGAGCAGCCGCCATCATGAGCATGGGGTTAGGCTGGAATAGCGGAGGTGTTTTAGCAGGAAACATGGAGAAGTCGGAACAGGAGAAAACCCATTTCTACTGGAGGAAGTTCATGTGGTTGCAGGTTTGTGTCAGCGAAGCTTTGCAGCGTGAGAGCAGGGGTTGAAGAAACAGATGGCCGGGGGGCAGGATGGGTCCTGAGGCCTGTGACTCAATAGAGGGTCAGCAAGTGAGGAGAGCGAGGCAGGAGGAAATGGGTAGGTGGTACAAAGGCCAGAAGGGAAAAGAGAGCAGAAAGCCGGCTAAGAAGGTCAGCAGGACTGGCAGCTACGGAAGGGTTGTGTTTGGATAAAGACCAGTCCAGCCCCGTAGCTGCACATCCCCTGGCTTTCCTGTACAGGCCTCCACGTAGAGGCAGGTGCAATGTTTGAAGCAGTTGGGAGGCAGCTGCACTTGAAAATGAGGATGGGGTGGGAGACGGTGTCGAAGGCCTTGCCAGATGATTGGAAGATAGCCAATGTGGTCGCCGTCTTTAAAAAAGGGAGGAGGGAGGACCTGGGCAACTATAGGCCTGTCAGTCTTACCTCAATCCTGGGGAAGCTCTTTGAGAAGATCCTCAAGGAGCACATCTGCGATGGGCCAGCAGCAGGGATGATGCTCAAGGGCAACCAGCACGGTTTCATTAGGGGCAGGCGATGTCAGACCAACCTGATTGCCTTTTATGATCAGGTCACAAAAGCCTTGGATGCAGGTGTCGCTGTGGATGTAGTCTTTCTAGACTGCAGCAAGGCCTTTGACACCGTCTCCCACCCCATCCTCATTAAAAAACTAGGCGACTGTGGCATTGATGCCTACACAGTCGGCTGGATTGCAGATTGGCTGAAGGGTCGCACTCAGAGGGTGGTGGTGGACAGGTCATATTCGACCTGGGGAGAGGTGGGCAGCGGAGTTCCCCAGGGCTCAGTCCTTGGGCCCATGCTGTTCAATCTC